ATGACTACAGCTTCAGTGGGATCATGAGAGCTGTCTGATCTATCCAACAGTGTTCGATGCGGTGAAGGTACGAATAGACGGAGGAGTGATGGAGGAGTGTGAGGCGAGTGCAGATGTTCTGCTGAGTGACACCATGGACCAGTACAGAACTTTCCAGATGTGTGAGCGTCTGCTGCACAGTCCATCTAAACTAGGCAACCAGCTGCTGTTTCAGATCCCCCCCCATCGACAAGCCATGCTCATCGAGAGGTGCAGTAATAATTTCTCATTCATTTCTTCTTCAATCATCAAATGTGTTCAGTGTCTTTTTCTATCCCTTCTTTTAGCCAGGTATTTTAACTTCTCAAGGCATATGTGTATTTGTTATTAAACACAACTCATTTATCCCTTCTTCTTAACATAATAAATGAAAATGTCATTTTTGAAGTTTCCTCTTATGACTCTGGTTTCCTTGAATAGATACTATACCTTCGATGATGCATTTGTCCGTGAGGTCCTGGGAAAGAAACTCTCCAAAGGAACCAAGAAAGACTTGGATGATATCAGTGCCAAGACAAGTGTGACACTGAAGAGCTGCAGACGACAGGTAAGAGCATCACAACATCACAATGACTGTTCATCTGTTCATCTGTATCATACGAGTGCCCACTTTTTCAGATTTTCAGCACTTTAAAAGCACCATATGTCATTTTCTGAAGCTTTTGGTAAAATTGATTACAAACATGTTTATTGACTGAAAAAGAGGTCTCCTGTCCTCCAAAACTAAAATACCTGGATATTAAAACAGATGAACTGTGATTTACGTTCAAATAAACTGTTTCTCAGATGTTATTTGGCTGCTGGGAACATTTGCAGATCTGGCTTCTTTCTAAGGATCCATCTGGTTAAAATAAATACCAAAAACCACGGTTGTTAAAAGTTGGCATAAAACCAAACCAAATGTAACAGACCTTGATCACCTTGATTCAAATTACTAGGATTGAAAATTGTTGGAAACATTTGGAATAATGAGTGTTGTTCCCAGTTCTTTGCACTTTCTACTGTACTATTCTTTTTTTTACTGTGCTTTATACAAGTCAGGTTCTGATTTTATAAAATCTCCTGTGTCATGTGTTTCATTTTAGTTTGACAACTTCAAACGTGTTTTCAAAGTTGTGGAAGAGCTGAAGGGACCCCTGGTGGAGAACATACGTCAGCACTTTCTTCTTTCTGACAAGCTTGCAAGGTAAAAAATGACTAAGAACGGAGCACAAATCTCCCTGCCTCAGATTTATTCTTCAAAGTATTGCTTCAAAATCATTCTGTTGTAGTGTTTATAATAAATTACTGTATGAGTATTTAGGCTAACTCTTACAAAAAAGCACCTGAAAATGCATTATGGTTTAGTTAAACAAGGTTCTGACTGATAGTCTTGTTTTATTTGTTAGCTCTTTTAACGCTTTCGTCATCTATTTCAGGGATTATGCTGCCATCGTTTTCTTCGCTAACAATCGCTTTGAGACGGGGAAAAGAAAACTGCATTATCTCACGTTCCAGGACTTAGCTTTCTGTGCTGGGCAGCTTATCAGCAACTGGACCGTTGGGGCAGTTGGTGAGCCCTTTGTCTTGTTTCCTTTGGCCGTTTGCTGTCATTTTTATCTGGAATGTAAGGGACGTGTATAACATTAAAATCAGTTATGTAACATATATTTACTGATGTGTAAGCCTCAAACTGTGACACATTAAGAGGATTAATATAAGTGGTTAATGCAAGGAAAAATAACAACTGTAAATTGAGCCAACATTTAAAACAGTTTGTATAAGAAATGTATATAAATTGCATATGAATAAGAGGTATACTGTTTATGTTGTTGTTATGAATATGAGACATTTAGAGCAGAACTTCCTCCAATGAGACGCACTGACCACCAGAGGTCCTTCAGGTTTTAGAGATCCTCGTTAGGATGAAGAGGCATTTACATTTTGTAGTTACCAATTAGTACAATAAAACATTTTAATTGTGTGGGGCACAGTCTGATAATAATTGTGAGAAAAAGAAGCGATAAAAGTTGTAAGAATAGGCATCCTTTGAACTGATTTTGCAGTGTTTGACTCGAGTTTCCTCTGTAGATAACATGGTGGAAGACATGGACGTGGATCTGGATAAAGAGTTCTTACAAGATCTGAAAGAACTGAAGGTTTTAATCACTGACAAAGATCTGCTGGATCAACACAAAAGGTAACAGCAAAAACTGAGCACTACATTTTCTTACTGGCTTTTAATTAAAAAAATGTCCACACTCCAATTGACGATTTCTCTTTTTGCTTTCCCTCCTCTCTGGTCAGTTTGGTGTGTACAGCTCTCAGAGGGAAGACTAAAGCTTTTACTGAGATGGAGGCTAATTTCAAGGTGAGAAACATCTGAAATGTAATCAGTCAGTAACTCCTACGATAAAAGTAGGTTTTTGAAAGTCACTATTTTCTTCTTTTATAGAATATTTCCAGGGGACTTGTCAACATCGCCGCCAAGTTAACAAACACAAAGGATGTCAGAGATTTCTTTCTTGATCTTGTGGAGAAGGTGTGTACTTCTAAAACATGTAGTTTCTTTATTTTTTCTGTGTGATCATTCAACCCATATTTCTGAGGCCAGTCTGCCTTTGAGACGGTGTGATGTAACGCCTCCACCCCTTCCCCCCCCCCCCACAGTTTATTGAGCCGTGTCGCTCAGACCGATGGACAGCTGCGGACGTCAGACTCTACCTCACTCACTACAACAACTCTGCACACATACTCGACACATTCAAGTGAGTTCATGTGTTTTGATTCTGTTGCTCTTATCAAGTAGAGCTCCAACTCTGCCGAGGTTCTAATTCCCATAGGGGCGACCCATGCTATAAATACAGTCAGCGTTTTTTTAAAACCTCTTGGAGAAACCTCCCCAGTAACTGCATATTATACACACTCAGGCAGTCTTTAAAGCCGACCAAGCTTAAAGCTTAAAGCTTGTTCGTCTCTGTTCTACCAGTGGGTGTCACCCTATCTCGCCCCTGACTTCTCAAACTGTAGTTACCTTGTTTCTCCTGCAAACACTCTGGAATGTAGTTAAGGGTTTACACAGCCCTGCACCACTACAAGCTTAACAAAGAGATATTCATAAAAAGAGACATAGACCCCCCGCCCAACACTATTACACTGGAGTGGACAAAGATTGCTTCATTTACTTCACCCAGATTTCACAATTACAGTTTGCCATGAGACTTACAGTAGCTATTTGCTCCATTTACTTACAGTTTGCTCTATTTGTGCCTCTCTCTTTTCTGCCCTTAGACACCAGGTTGTGTGGGACAGATACATGGGCGTCATCAAAAGCTGTATCTTCAAAATGTATCACGACTGAAGCGTTTTCTTAGCGGCTCGCCACGCCACTTCTCCCTGCTCTTCCCCCTCGACAAAGCCGTCGTTTGTCAGCGGTGATGAATCCTACTTCTCATGCCCCATTATCCCCAAAGAGTGTCTGTACATTTGGTTTGTAAATAAACATAACATATATACATCAAAATGTCATACTGATTTGTTATAATTGAATGTTCCAGGGACAACATGATCTGATCTTGTGAGTGTTGGATGGAGATTAGAGACTAACAGAGAACGGGAAATCATATCGTTAAAGTAAAGATGGCAGATTTGTAAAGCCCTGCCTTTTTAGTCTAAGCTGTATTAATGTTTTATTTTTTAAATACGACTAGTAGAGTACACGTGTCATGGATTGAGACCTCTTCCCGTGTCTGTGTGTGGTCATGGAGGTAAGGGACTAACCAGGGGGGCACAGTTGGTCCAGCTAGGGGGTCTTCAGCGTGACTTTGTCAACATCCCCCTGTAATGACAGCTGCCATCAGTGCCACCACCCAGAAATACAGGACAGATAAACAATCAGATGTCAGTAATGGTTTTTAACTAAATATTTACTTTTAAAACAGGAGAAACATAAAAAATGACTACTATAATGTTAAAAATAGCATGACTGTGCACTCTAAATATACAAAGAGTGAAGATATATAGTTGTGAGCTTAAGTGCATGCTGTCAATTTGTAATCCGTGTCATATTCATCTCAATGTTTCCTAGAACTGCAATTAGAGTAATATGACTGCTGCTCATTTTAATTTCAATAGGCTTTAGGAAAGCTCCTGGGGAAATCCGAGTGTGACCTTAAAGTCTGACTTTAAGTTGAGTCAGACTGAAACTCATAAAAACTCAAGTGGATTAAGCCGCAGTTTAACCAGTTTGCACCGTAACAGACTGTTCTGTTCTGCCAAAGAAAATACTGCTCGAAACGGTTCAGTAATGCACAAGTCATCTACAAACAGAGCAGAAGAGTTGGTCGCAAATAATCATCATATTCTATTTTCTGCATGTTATCCCAGAAAGCGGCTCCAGTTTATTCTGAGAAATAAGCTGACACATTTTCCGAATAAGTCTCCCCTCTCTTACTCTTCCACTCTCTAATTTTTTGTCCACATTCCATTAACTTCTCTCTCCCCGGCTATAAATATCCTGCATGTCAGATTGGACGAGAGAGAGGGCTTTAGTTGCTTTATGGAAAAAAGAAAAGAAAAGTGAAACATGGGGGAGGTAAGTATAGATAGATGGGGGGGTAAAAGGCAAAAAGGTTGGGAGAGCTTGGGGCTTTTGCGGGGGTTCAGTTTAAATGAAACCAGGTGTGTTGTGGGACCAGTCAGAGGGGGCATTGGGTAAGAAGATGGGGGGGCAAGTGTGTGAATCTGTGAGTTGTTGTTCCGCCTGCGATTTCGACGGATTTTGGCATTTGGTATTTGGGCCGCAGACCAGGAATTTGCATCCTGGGGGGTCAGAGAGAGGGGGTTTGGAGAGTGGAGGGTGGCTGTGCAGGGGGCCAGAGGGAGGGAGAGGGGGGGGGGGGTTGGACTGGGCTGTCCCTCTCTCCTCCCTCTTTCTCTCTCTCTCCCTCCCTCTGCATGTGTTCAGCTGCTCCAGCTGTCGGTCTCCCCACTCACTCTCTCAGGGTCATGCAGGCAGGAGTTTAAGGGACCACTTCTCCACGGCAACTCATCGGGACGACCGCAGCCAGCAGCAGGACAATCACCAGAGGGCAGAGGCAGACGACCCATCGGAAAACTATCATCTGTGAGTTTCCCTGTGTTTCTTTAACGTCCGACTAGAAGACATTTGTGTCTAAAGAGAGCCGGTGGACCATATTTTGCGAGAGTTTTAAGGAGAAGTATCGGAGGTGACATGTAACTCCACTTTTCTGGTAGAGGCCAAACACGTCACAGCTGCACCGCTGCTCTGCTCTCACAGCTACACTCAGCCAAGATAATGTGGCTCGCAGTCTGCCTCTTGGCTCTGGGTTTCAGACTGTAATAGGGGGGTAGACAGGAAGAGAGGTAATGACTCACAGGGCATGTGTTGTTGGACATTATGTTGCAAAAGTGATTTCACCTCATCCCTCATATACAAGCCGGTGTCACAATCTCCTCTTAATGACTCAGGGGGGGAAAGTACAGCACACTATTTGAGTGAATGAGAGAAGCTTCTAATGAACAAGAAGAAGAAGAAACAGGTGGCAGCTACAGGAACGAGATACAAAGAAAACACAAGACATAACAACTCAGAAATCTAAGACAGTGTGGGATGCTGCCTCACTAATGTTGCACAGTGTATTTAACATCTGTCCACTCCTAATAGCTAACATGTGACAGCTCTACTGTCATTGTAATGACTCAGGTTGGATTATAGAGGCAACAGGAAAGAGAGCAGAGTTCCCCTGAGAGCGGCCATCATCTCGTGCCACACTGTATGCACACACAAATACATCACAGACGTTTAAAGCTCTTTACACAGGCAGACAGAGCAGAATCACCAGTGGGAGAACAGGACCGGCCCAGAGGGATTCATTACAGCTACAGTGTGTGAGCCTCTCCTACAGGCCACTATCCATCACTGACAGTCGACTTTCCCAGAATAAGAGTTAGACTGTGTTTCTGTGTGTGTGTGTGTGTGTGTGTGTGTGTGTGTGTGTGTGTGTGTGTGTGTGTGTGTGTGTGTGTGTGTGTGTGTGTGTGTGTGTGTGTGTGTGTGTGTGTGTGTGTGTGTGTGTGTGTGTGTGTGTGTGTGTGTGTGTGTGTGTGTGTGTGTGTGTGTGTGTGTGTGTGTGTGTGTGTGTGTGTGTGTGTGTGTGTGTGTGTGTGTGTGTGTGTGTGTGTGTGTGTGTGTGTGTAAAGGTGAAATACTCAGATCTTTCACTTGAGTAAAAGCAGCAATACTAAAGTGTTACACTCCTGTTACAAATAAGTCCTGAATTCAAAATCTTACACAAGTAAATGTAAAACATTATTAGCATCAAGGTATACTTAAAGTGCCAAAACTAAAAGTGTCCATTATGAAGAATGACTCATTTCATAAGGATGTATTTTAAATGATCGGATTATGATTACTGAAGCATTCATTTGTTGAAGACTTTATTGTTGCAGCTGGGACAAGTGGAGTTTATTTTAAATACTTTGTATACTGCTGGATAGGTTAATCAATAATAATACATCATCATTTGTTGATTTATATTTTGTTTTAATAATCTGAATCTCCAAAGTAACTAATGTTGTCAAATACCTGTAGCGGTAGCAGAAAAGTGTCTTTCTGAAAGTGTGTGTGTGTGTGTGTGTGTGTGTGTGTGTGTGTGTGTGTGTGTGTGTGTGTGTGTGTGTGTGTGTGTGTGTGTGTGTGTGTGTGTGTGTGTGTGTGTGTGTGTGTGTGTGTGTGTGTGTGTGTGTGTGTGTGTGTGTGTGTGTGTGTGTGTGTGTGTGTGTGTGTGTGTGTGTGTGTGTGTGTGTGTGTGTGTGTGTGTGTGTGTGTGTGTGTGTGTGTGTGTGTGTGTGTGTGTGTGTGTGTGTGTGTGATTAACCCCCTGGGTGTGGATTTGCAGGTTCACTGCCACAGTGGCAACGGAGCGTGTTGGCCACCGTGTTTCCAGCAGCTCCACGCACAACCGAGCAGAACAACACAAAGCTAGCCATGTATACACTACAACACATGATGTGTGTGTGTATTTTTTCTTGTCCCCATGTGGTCACTTTATAGGCCTCCGGACATCTTGCCTGTTAAATTGTGCTGACTGTGTGAATTTCGAAATGGTTCATCCTGCTGTTTGAGCCCCAAATGGTAGTTATAATAGACGTGTTGTTAAAAGTATACACAACAGGTGTTAGAGCAGTAATGTTTTAAAGTGTCTTCTAGGGCTACAACAAATACTTAATTTAATTTGTATCCATTACTTTGATAGTTAGTTTTGAGAGTAATGGATCAATAGTTTGGTCTTTAAAATGTCAACAAATATTTACAAATGTCCAGTTTCTTAAAGTCTAGGCAATGTCTTTAAAAGTCTTGTTTTGCATGGCCAGCAATCCAAAACACAAAGACATATCATTTGATATATAGAACAAGAAAGAACAGAAAATGCTCCTACAGTATATGTGAAGCTGGATCCAGAGCCGCCCGTGAGTCAACTGATTGATTAATTCATGTTCAGAAAAATATTCACAAATTAATTTGCCAATGGATAAATTGTGAGATATTTTCCATGCAAACATGGCAGAAAATGCTGTTACCAGCCTCTCAAGTATTGAGATCACCCAATTCACTGTTTGATATCATATAACTGAATATCTTGGGTTTCGGAGTGACAAAACAAGACATTAAAAAACATAAGCTTGGACTTTGAGAAACGAGGATGGACATTTGAACCTATTTCCTCGAAATGTGTTGTCTCAACGATTAATTAATTTATCCAGAAAGAATCATTGGTGATAATCGATAATGAAAACAATTGATAGTGTTAGTCCTAACTGGAACAAACAAACGTTTATCTTTTGCAAAATGACAGAAACAAAATAGATGCTGATTATTTTCCTACTGATGACCGTATACAGTCTGTAGTGATTACATGGTATCACAGTCAACCTGTTTCTCTCTACGTCAGTCAAATCCTAGACGATAAATTGCTGCACTTTTCACATTCTGCCATCCTCCTACACAGAGGAGAGATGAGCGGTTAGGGAAGCAGTGGCCGGAGGTTTGGCAGCAGCTATCCTCTATGTGAGCCATGGGGGGTTTCCCAGAACCCGATACTCTGGGAAGCCCGGCTGAGGCAGGGCATCCCAGCTGGGACCAGGAGCCCACATCCTCGCCACTGGCATTCCAGAGGTCCACCGCCACTTGATCTCCAGCGCCACCAGGGCCACTCCCATGCATCCCTGCTGCCCACTCTCAGTAGCCAGTGGGTGACTGGACCCCAGACTGATGGTCAGTTTGTTTTTGGCTGGTTTTGGGTCACATTCTTGCTGGTTGTAGGTGTCCGCCTGGCCAATTCAGAGAGGTCACGTCCTGCGGGCGTGTGATTGCCCGGTGGTTATTTTCACCACGCAAAGGTCACATGGCCTGTGATGTCATCCTCACCCTGCGGCCTTTTGTTTGTCTCAACATGAAATGAGACAATAAGCTATGCCTGTAAATGTGAGTTTACACAAGAGCGTGCGTCTGTGCACATAGACAGCCAGTGATTATAACCTGCTGGAGCTCACTGGCACTTTCTCAGAATCTTTTTTTCAATCCTTCAAAAATCCTGTTTTTCTCAAACTTCTTTTTGGTCTGCGGGAGCTGGAATAGGTGATTTGTTTATGTTTAAAGTCTGTTAAAACACGTATAACCTCTGTCCAGGAACTCAAACTGAAGGGTGTTTGTGTCTCTGCTGGGAGGAAAGCCCAGTCCATCTGAATACTTGGAATACTCAGCAAAGATAATACACTATAAATCAACCTCGAAAATACACAGCACTGTACATAACCTGTAGTAAAATACTCCGATCTTACACCTAAGTAAAAGTAACAAAACTCTATTTCAATAAGGTCTGTATTAAAAATTCGAATTGAGTAAAGGTACATTTCTACCAGCAAGGTCAGAGTACACATTATGTGTAACAGACATTTTTATTGTGGGGTCCTTAAAAATTACACACACATGATGATATTATGTTATAAGTAAAGTTATAATCTTGTAAAACAAGATCAAAAATACTAAACTTCATGGGCTCTTATGTCAGTTAGTTGCAGGACAAAATACCCTATTATTCTTATTGGTGATGCTCAGGGCCCTATACTGCATGTCATCCTCTCTTTCTGTTGTTAACTCTCTGAAATGTAGTGGAGTAGACGTAAATAACGTGACTAAAATAATGTAGTAAGTATACTTTTCACTATGGACTGATTACTGAGCTGGCCTACTGTGCACCGGCCCAGGGGCTCAACAGGTCAGGAGGCCCCTGGTTGAGTGCTTCTGTTTAAAGTTACTGCTAAGATCTCTTGTTGAGGCACAACATTTTCAAAAGTGACTGAGAACTACTTAAAAAAGAAACAAACAACCTTTGCGGTCGCTACAAAAAAAACAAAAAAACTACCACGGAGATACAAAAGGGCCAAAAAGAGACAAAATAATCTGAGAAGATAAAACCTCAAAAGAGACACAAAAAGACTACCAAGAGACGCTCACTGCCTCCAAGAGATGCAAATAGTCCAATAAGAGACTCTAAATTGCCCCCAAAATTAAATAAAGCCAACTAAAAAGCCAAAATAAAGATGCAAAAACTTTAAAATGCCAAAAGTCCCTTTACTTGTCTATGACTACCAGGGCCCCAAGGCATCATCATTTGTCCATACTTTCCAGACAGAGGCCCTCTCACATTGCAGAGACAAAACCCAGTATTATTAACAGAGGAGATTCTTTGTCACGGACACAAAAATAAATAAACGTTCAGTTCAGCAGACGGAAGCAGCTGGGCAGGAGATGCTGTTATAAAATATGCGACTAATATGCAGGATTTATTTGCTGACACACAGTGATCTGAGCCCTGGAGGCAGCGCTCGGCGAGACGATCATTCCAGCGTCTCAGTCTGCAGACACAGTGTCTTCTGTGAGCAGCTAAAATTAAAGTATTTTTGTAATGTTGATTTTGTTATTTTCAGCAGAAGCATGGGGTACGTCACAATGTTTATGTTTTAAACTGGCAGAGTGATTCACGCCATTTATTCCTGCTGCGATCAAGGGGGAACTGTTTGGTCGGAACGCAGTGACCCAAGACGCCTACTATTTGCTTTGACTGATTTCTTAAAATCTGGCTGCAGTTTGCTTTTTGCTTCGAGTTGATTTAGTCATTTCAGCTGTGGGAGCAACTCAAAGCACCAGTGAGTTTTGAGACTGAAACATTTGTGTGATTTCTGAGTTTCTAATGTATATTTTGTTTGTCTTTCCTTCTGTCTCCCTCTGAAATACAGGAACAACCTCTGGGCTGCCGCTCTCATCTCTGAAGCAGCGCTGCCTGTGGGATAGCAGTGTGTGTGTGTGTGTGTGTGTGTTTGTGTGCATGTGTTACGTGTGTTCCCATCCCGTCTCCCCCCCAAATTAGTGCATTAGTATGCAGGGTGCTTGTGTGTCAATCTTGTGCGTGTGCATATGTGTGTCAGTGCTCCTCCACAGTGCTATTTCACAGCCACCTACAGAAAGTGACACCTACACAGTAAGGATGGATACATCTTTCTCATGCTTCTCTTTTCATCTCATATTCCTTGCTTTATATGATACATCACATGTTATTTTATGTGGAAATGTTGGCCTCAAGTCCTCTTTATTCTCTCTGAGCTCAATTTCTGATTCCCCCATCTTCTTCTTGTTTAATATTCCACAGCAGTTTTCCAACATTTTATAGTAGTCTTAGCTGGGGGTAAATTTAGCTTTAATTCCATGTGTTCTTCAGGCCTCACTGTTTCCTTTCATGCAGCTCACTGCAACATATTTTTTCCAGAATGATAATGACCCTTTTTCCAAACATTGGCCTTAAGATCTTTGTTTTTGAGGTGACGTTTGGCTTTATTAAAGTAGTTTTAAATGTCAAAAATCCTTAAACTGTGGCAGCCTCCGTGTGTTTTTGGCCCAGCTACACAAATACACAGGAAACAAGTTTTTCCTTCTTCTGTTGTTTTTTTCTGTTAAGTCCCACTACTGGGGATTAATTATGTATTATAAATATACTATGGAAGTACTTGGCTCTGTTCACATATTTCTTTCCATCATTTTCTCATACTCTCTTTTCTCTGGTGCTCTCTTTCAGGAGTGCACAGATGGGTATCACTGGGACCTTCAGACGGAGCACTGCAAAGGTAAAGCACTTTTTAACCTGCATTCATTATTTATTCTTTTTTGAAAACATGGTTTTTTGTTATAGATTGTATTGAATTTTCCTGAATTTAACTTCCCTTTAAAATGTCAAAATTCTTTCTTAATATAACGTTTTTTTTATATATTATTAATTGGAGTACATTTTCTGATTTTATTTTAGTCTAATTTCCATTTTAAGTGTTTTTGATTTCCTTTAAAATGGCATTTCACTATACTTCTTTTTTTTGGTGTAAACTATACTGTATTTCTTTTAAACACGATGATGCATGACTTGTCTGTTTCTATTTATATTGCTTTGTTGTTTTTGAGAATCGCTTTAAAACTTGGATTAGAACAAAGAACATTATTTATTCCATTTCATATATCACCTAATTCTTATGTACAGCACCAGATGTGATCATCCTGTTGCTCTTCCTGCCCTCTCCTATCTTTGATTTGTTCCTATCAACTTTGGTTAGAGCCTAAACTTTTGTCTCTGTGTCTCCCATCAGACATAAATGAGTGTGACACCATCCCAGATGCCTGCAAAGGGGGGATGAAGTGCTTCAACCACTACGGGGGCTACCTGTGCCTCCCCCGCTCTGCCTCCGTCATCCCGGCCCCGGAGCCCGCCATCACGCCCACCGAGAGCAACCCCTGCCCCCTGGGTTACGAGGCGCAGGATGACAGCTGTGTGGGTGGGTGTCCGCTGTGAGGTGGGGGGGGGGGGTTGGAGGTGGACAGGTGGCCACAGGATGACCATTAAGCATGTTTGTGTGTGTGATTGTGTACGTTTATTGTCAGTGGTCACAGACTGCGAGGGACAGGTGGCTGAGCAGGTGTTGGGACGGGGGGCTGCATGTAGGTGCAAACTGTGTGGGTGTGTGTGAGTGTGAGTCCACAGGGGGGCAGGCAGACAGACTGTAGGAATTTGGAGGATTTCACACGAGGACAGCTGCTGTGTTTTAAGAACCGGACTGGCAGTGAGACAGCTACTCAGGCTGGAGGACGGCGAGCTGTTCAGCTGGGACCGCAAACATGATTCAGCATGATGTGATATTCTCAGCTGTCGGGTGCAAATGAGGAGAACAGAGTCGCCATGTTCGGCCTTCCTACAGTGACAGTGTCTCTCAGTCATGATCAATGATGCTGTGTTTGCTCATAATAACACATCTATTTCTACATGTGTGTCCAAGGCTGCAAATTAGGTTATTTTGTCTACAGATGAATCCATCTTCTAGATTAATTGATGAAGTGTTTGGTCGATGAAATATCAGCAAATTAAAACTGTCCAAGGTCTTTGTTTTTTCCATTCAAAACCTAAAGATACTCATTTACAGTTGTTTTTATACAAAGTAAAGCAGGACAACTCCATATTCAAGTGGCTGAATTAGCGGTTCTGCCATTTTTGCATGAAACATTACTCAAACGATTAATCGATTATCAAAATGGTTGCCAATTATTTTTCTGTTGACCGACCAATCGCTAAAGTCACAGCTCTGTGTGTCCCTGTTTCAGATATCAATGAGTGTGAGCGAGACGAACATGACTGCCAGCCCAGCCAGCAGTGTATCAACACACTGGGCGCCTTCACCTGTCAGTGCCCCGATGGCTACCGCAAGGTTGGAATAGAGTGCATTGGTGAGATAATCAACATTTTTTATTACATTTACATTTAAAATAGTGTAGCCCATGCATGTTTACATTTGGCCTGGGGGAAGTTAGTTACATCTAAAAGAGTGACATTAATAACCTACTTTATCTGAATGATCTCTTCTGTCTCTGTTTCTCTCTCAGACATCGATGAGTGCAGGTACAGGTACTGCCAACATCGCTGTGTTAATGTCCCCGGATCCTTCTCCTGTCAGTGTGAACCGGGCTTCCAGCTGGCAGGAAACAACCGCTCCTGCATCGGTGAGTGATCACACAGCTAATGTCTCTGAAGTCAGGCACAATGACTCTACGGTGTCCTGATAGCCCCCATCTATTATGACCTTAGTAAGATGATCCTACTTATAACACAAAAATGTAGCCTTGGAAAATAAATTATTAAATCTTAAAGAGCAACTTCACAGATTTGTACATATCGAAGTCTGTTTACAGGTCTTAGGGAGTGATACTGTGAAAATGTGAAAATACTTGCATGTAGTGGCTACAGAGGGAGCTGTGTGAAATCTGATAACTCAAATGAGTCAGTGTCAGATGGACGACAAGGCTGAGAAAACAAACTCATGGAGTTGTGTGGAGTTAGAGAGTGAGACCTCTGTTGCCCTCTCCTGCTACATTAGCCACTACTAGCAAAATACAACCACATTTCTGTCTGTGGTCGAGTTGTATTATGGGTAATGTTGGCGCTAAGAACGAAGAATGTGTGGGATAGATAAAGAGGATGTGTCTGGATCTTCTCCCTCTACTTAGTTTCTTTACAAAAAAGTCTGATAATGTTGCAGTAGTTTAATGCTGAATCAATTGAGTACACTTTAAAGCATTTATCTGTAACATTACATGTCCATGACTCCATTTTAGGTTAAGATAAAAGAAAACATTATTAAGGGTTTAACTCTTAAAAATCAGTAAATCTGCTTCATCGTTTGAGGTTTGATTAATTCTGATTTACATGAACAGTGAACATATCCTAAACTGTTATTTGTATTCACCGGAGCCCGTCTCATTATACATGAGCACAGAGTTAATGTTGTGTAAAGAAAACTAAACAGGTTTGTTGTGTTTATTTTGGACCCCGTTACTCACAGTAAACAGCTGAGAATATATGTTTTCAGCTCAATTATTTTATCTGGAGTGTTCTGGTTTTGGATCCAGCACCTGTAAAAGATTTAAAGCGTGTGTGGTTGTACTATTTGACTTTTAAGTGTATCAATCACATCTATGTTCCCTCCCTTCAGATGTGAATGAATGTGAGATGGGAGCGCCCTGCTCTCAGAGGTGTTACAACACGTACGGCACCTTCCTGTGTCGCTGCGACCAGGGCTACGAGCTGGACGCCGACGGCCCTGACTTGTAAAGGTAAGAGACACACAAGCAGAATGTCACTAAAACATTTACTGAAGTACTGTACTGAACATTTTGAAGGTTTTAATGAGCGTTTTATTTTCATGCCTCTCACTACTTCTTCTACTCCACTACATTTCAGCTTTAGTTTGAAAAAAAAAAACATGATTCTTTTTAAACAGGAAACGTAGAGTTTGACTACAGGAGCATGTTTAGGACAATTGTTTAATTACATTTTTATTATAACTTCTCAAACGAGAAGATTTGTGGATTTATTTAGCTCCATCCCAACCAAGTACAACAATAAAACCTTACTTTTAGTTATATATTGAATCAAGCAATACAAATCTAGTGATAATACTTAAGTAATAACAATGACGGGGGACATTTTTCTGCCCCGAATACTACTACATCTTCCTGGTTCAACTTATTATACTTTATATACTTTAACTTAAGTGACATGTTCAACACGTACTTTTTTCATTTGAGTATTGGGTAAGTAAAGGGTCAGTTTACTGTAGTAAGGATTAATATAAGTTAGAATACAGACTTCCTAGTTTCAGTGATCCTAACCTGCTCGGTATTCTGTTTAATTGTGAACCATTAATAAAACCTGATTTTTTGATTTCGACAGACATCAATGAGTGCGGCTTCTCCAGCTTCCTGTGCCAGTTTCAGTGTGTCAACGAGCCCGGGAAGTTCTCCTGTGTTTGTCCTGAGGGGTACCAGCTGCAGGGCACCAGACTCTGCCAGGGTGAGCCTCGCCTCCTCACACCTTCCTCTGTGCTTTCACTCACAAATGTCACCTCTTATTCATTCTCTAACAGCAGCTCTATTCTCGTCCAGTGGGGAAAGTTACTAAATACTTAGTACAATTTTTAGGTAATTGTACTTTATTATTTCCAGCCCTCTACATCTCCGAGGGAAATATTGTACCTTCTACTCCACTACATTTATTCAACAGTTTTAGTTACCTTAGTGGACAATATAACAAGCTTTTAAGATACAACACATTGTTAAATACAAAACCAGTGTTTTTCAACCTTTCTAGGCCTCTGTTGTCTTACAAAAAGCAGTGCTTTCAGAGAGAGGTTAAGCTCAACCAAATATAGGTTTTCCCTCTAAACTTCTCAAATGATTTAATATCAATAATGATACTATATCCAAAAACAACATCAAAGATTTAGTAAAAGTCTGACAACTTGATCTAATTATGACATTTAAAATCAGTCAGACACCGAAACATAAAGTAGATTTTCTTCCAATACTTATGCTCTTTTACTTAAGTTAGCTTTTTCATGCAGAACTTTTACTTGTAACACATACACACGGGTTTGACATCGCTGTATTAATACTTTAACTTCAGTAAAGGATTTGAATACTTATTTTAGTTGAAGTTAAATCTCATCAGCTGTGTTTCTCCTGCAGATATAAATGAGTGTGAAACAGGTGAACATCAGTGTACCGAAGCACAGACCTGTGTAAACATCCACGGACGGTACCAGTGTGTGGAGGAAAACCGCTGCCAAGAGCCTTACGTGCAGGTGTCTGAGAAGTGAGTGACACCTCGTGAAAGCTTAAACAAACACAAACACACGTTCACACACCTTTTCCCAATTATTAAACTATGTGCTGGCCATCAGCTCATAATATAATCAGACCCTTTATTGAGTGTAGCTCACACTGCAAGATTAGCACAATTACATTTTCCACATATGAGTCCAACTTTCAACCTTTTCTTCTGAACATGGTCCAGTGCAATAAGAAAACCATTACACTGTTACACTGTTGGATTGCTAACAGGTGTGGGTCATATTAACATATCCCAGATTATTTGAAAGTATAAAAAGTACTTTAGAAAAACATGAGGGGAAAAATGGCTACTGTTCAATGTTTGTTTTGATTTAAGGAGACCTTTTTCTTTCAGTCATATCACTCCCTCTGCTGGCTGATATATGTATAATATTTTTTAACACCAATTATTACAGATGTTGATCTCAAAGTGAACTTACTGACTCTCTTGTGTGTTTCCAGCCGCTGTGTGTGTCCTGTCAGTAAGCCGGCCTGTCGAGATCTGCCCTTCTCCATTGTTCATCGCTACATGAGCATCACCTCGGAGCGCTCCGTCCCCTCAGACGTCTTCCAGATTCAGGCCACCAGCGTCTCCCCGGGGGCCTACAACACCTTCCGCATCCGATCCGGAGACGAAAACGGAGACTTCTACATCAGGGTGAGAACTGCTACAGGGCTGGAGAAAGAGAGAGGATGACTGATGGTTATTTGTTAATGGTTATTAAGTTAATTATGCAACTGCTGATGAACCTGTGATCAGAGTGAAGACTTTTGAGTTTAGAAGCAACGACTGTGAGGAAAAAGCTCTTTAGTGAACAGCATGGACTTTCTATGAACCATTTGCCAGATAGTGGTGGACTCTGAATATGACGCAGAATGCATGCAAGTCGTCTGCAGGAGTTACAATCCCAATGTTGCCTCCAAAGGGAGTCTCTCCCTTTCCAACTAAGGATGTTTTATAACCCCACTTCAATATTCACAAATGAGAGTGATATCAATCTTCTCATCCAACTCCAAACTTCTTTGTGCACCAAAGCAAAAAACACATTTACAAAAAGTACTCTTTTAAGTAGAAATAATGTAGAAATGTACTCGCTTACAAATGGCATTTTAATGCTTCATCATTTGAGGTTTGATCAATTTTGATTGACAGGAACAGTGAAAAAAAATCCATTTTGATTCACCGGCTGATTTTAAATGAGCACAGAGTTGATGTTGTGTAAAGAAAACTAAACTGGTTTGTTGTGTTAACCCCCGTTAATGTAGAAATGTGCTCACTTATATATATTTGTTCTCTTCTCCAGCAAATCAATAATATCAGTGCCATGCTGGTGCTGGCCCGCGCTGTGTCGGGGCCCAGAGAGTACACGTTGGACCTGGAGATGGTGTCCGTTAACCCCCTGAACAGTTACCAGGGCAACTACCAGACCAGCTCCGCCCTCAGACTCTCCATCTACGTCGGGCCGTACACCTTTTAAAGAAGAAGAAGACGAGTGGAGGGACACAGAGTAAGATGGAGAGAGAGAGAGAGAGATGGAGAGAAACACAGATGCAATAAAAGGAAAATGAAGCTGTAAAACAAAAGTGGTCGACGCAGTTCAACCAGTCACTGTGATGTTACACTCTTTCGCTTTTTGTACTTTCAAAGAGAGCCACACAATTCCCATATTCATTGACAACAGCATACAACTACGATGTAGCAGTAATATCCTGCAGCCTTAAAGTAATTCACTCAGTCAAACCTGTCCCCTTGTGTCTTATGATGTTATGTTTTCTGTCTTTTTTTATTTAACACTATCTGACAGCATCACTCTGTGGTGACAAGTTTGAAAAGGGATTTTATGTTCTTCACATCTGTTCAGGGTGTTAACTACTCTGTGTGACATATTTTCCGCCTGCCTTCAGCTGGAGTGATTCACGCCCAGCGTCACTAGATGATTCTGTTTTCACCCGTTTACATGCTTATCTTTGGTTTTGCTCCGTTTGTCACTTTATTCTCGTCAGCCCTGTTTCCTGTTGACAGACGTGATTCAGTAACCACTCAGATCAGACCTCAGATCCTCCTTCACCCTCCACTGTTCATTCCTATATGTTCCAGCTCTCCATCACTGCCTTCTGTAGGTTTGTCACAATGCTGATCGTGTTTGTTTTTGTCTAAGATTTGAACCCAAATAAAACGATATACCTTTTCCTCTGTGTCCCAGTGAACATTATTACAATGCCATTTGGGGGGCGAGGAGGAATCTTCTTGACAATGTAACCATGAGCAATCTGGGACATTTAGATTATTCTAACATGCTATAAAAGAAAGATGTATCAGTCACTTTTCCATCTTCTATTGAGCAAGTGGATAAAAAAGGTAATTCATTAATATATTTCTATAGTGGCTCAGAAAAGAAAAGCAAATTCTGCTTCTAGAAAGGCTCTTTATTTATGTTACCTGAAGGACACCGCTGACACACATAGAAAGGGAGCGGTGAGGTATTCAGTTGGTTGCAAATTGCGACCTCTTTGATGCCACTAAATCCAAAACACTGGACCTGTATGTGATCCACATCTGTTAAAGAGTCATGGATGATACAGGAGTGTCAGTGGGTGGGTCAGTAAAACAGGAACTGTATACAGAGAATATCTCCATACAGCGACTACAGCGTGTAAATAGTGTCCCAGCTCTGAAATATGCTGTAGCAGCACAGACCGTTCCTTGCATAACTTGGCATCTTGTGGTGATGAAAAACAAACATGACAGGGCTTGGTGAGGGTGATACAGAGGGCAGTAGGGTAGGGGGGTGGGGTGTGTAGAGGTGTGTGTGTGCGTGTGTGTGTTCATATTAAGGGTGAGTAGTGATCCCCTCACATTTCCTGCTGGATAGAAAGAAAACGTACCCAACACTGGATTACACTGTAATAGAAGGGGTCACTGCCTAGGCGTAAAATGGGTCAGGGGGGCATAAAGAGACGCAAACTGGCCACAATGATGTTTAAAACAACCATAAAGACATTCAAAATGACCCTAGAAGGACGCAAAAAGACAACAAAGACATTCAAAATGACCGCTAAGGGACCCAAAACAACCACAACAACACTTAAAATAACAATAAAGAGACGCAAAATGGCCATGAAGACACTCAAAATAACCTCATGCAGAGACAGTAGGCTATCTGACAATGCACTTTTGAACTGCCTTTAAATCATATTTTTCCCAATCAAACAGCAGACACAGTGTGATCCAGCATTATATCTACACGGCATGCTTCACTCTCCATATGTATCATGGCCCACTGGCTTCATAGGCAGCTATGAATGCATTTACCAACACTGTTTGTCTGGTTCCCTGACCTAATTCACTAAGGAAAATGACAATATGAAGTAGTGTTGGTGCAGCCAAGTCTACAGGGTAACATTTGGTTAAGATGTGCCCACGCCACTGAGAAGGCTCCACAGACTTCAGTGTGTCAGAAACACCCCCCTCTTTACCTGCACCCCCACACTCATCAGCACACAACAACATTGTGGTGATTTCTGTCCATAAAAGTGAAGACAAAGAGACCACTGCCCCATTAAGATGTCTCCCTTTTATACTTTTAATCTAAACATTTCTGCACCAGGAAGGCAGATGAAATCATGTCCACCCCGCAACATCCTTAAATTAGAGGGGAAAGACAAAATGGCTGCAGATTGAAGGAAACAGGAGTGAAGCTCTGCAGCCTCCCGTTCTATTTTTACCACCTCAGCTCTTCACTTTGTGTGTTAACTGATTCTCCTGACCACAAAAAAAATAAGGAAAGAGAGAGAGAGAGAGGGAGAAAAGGAGAGAGGGGAAAGCCCTTATTTCACAGTCCACTGCTGTTCGCTCCGCCCAGTCCTACTCACACACCACACACACCTCCCATCTGTCCTCACTGGGGGGTGATGACTCACACACAGCCTGTTTTATGTAACCAGACAGCAGCCACCAGGGGGCAGCAGACCACACATCTCCAAGCAGCAGGCCAGGAATACCAACCACCTGAGGAGAGTGTTGGTTTTATAATTGACTACTAAGCCTATATTTTCTCCAGTTTTTCATACACTTGTACACCTGTGGGAGGACAAAGTGAAGTCAACTTGATCTACTTTTAACAAATATGTACAATACAGCAAGTGTCCCAGCTCTGAAATATGCTGTAGCAGCACAGACCTTTCCTTGCATAACTTGGCATCTTGTGGAGATGAAGAAACAACATGACAGGGCCTGGTGAGTGTGATACAGAGGGCAGTAGGGTAGGAGGTGTGTGTGTGTGTGTGTGTGTGTGTGTGTGTGTGTGTGTGTGTGTGTGTGTGTGTGTGTGTGTGTGTGTGTGTGCGTGCGTGCGTGCGTGCGTGCGTGCGTGCGTGCGTGCGTGCGTGCGTGCGTGCGTGCGTGCGTGCGTGCGTGCGTGCGTGTGTTCAGATTAAGGGTGAGTAGTGGCACAAGTCCCCTGACATCTAGTGTTGGCATTTATTTAGAAAAAAGCTGTCTGAAATCAGATACTGTCAAGGAGGGATTACTAGCTAAGGGGTCAGAGGGTCATGAGGAGATGCAAGCTGACCACAAACAGAAGCAAAGCGACTACAGAGTCACTCTAAATAACAACAAAGAGACGCAACATGACAACAAAAATACTAGAATCTATCAGAAAGACACACAACACTTTTACAAAGGGGCGCAAAATGACTATGATCTGACACACACACACACAAAAACGACCTATCAGAAACTCAGAAGAGCAAGGTGGAGACGCAGAATGAAAATAACCTCAAAAAGACATCAAATAACAACAAATGACTTAAAACAGAGCCCAAACAACGCGAAAGAGATGCAACATTTTTGTATTTGTTCAAATAAAGCCTTTGTGCTGTATGTCTGTGTGTCTGTTTATGTGTTTGTTTGTGTCCCTGTGTCTGTGAGTGTGTGTTTGTGTAAGGTGTGTGGGTGTGTACATGGGAGAGCATGTGTTGGAGAGTGGCAGTGCCCACACAGACGAGTGGGAGGAGTGTTTTGGGAGCAGAGAGGAGTGCTGGAGCGCCCGGTCATCTTCTGTTTTTGCCAACTTTTCTGGGATATGATCTCATTTCTGGGCAAGCTGTGCCCCGTGGGCCACAGTGGGTGATAGCATGGGACCGGAAGTGGCCAAACTAAGGCCCATGTGAGGCCATAGGGCACCAGAACCACGGCACAAACATGGAGGACAGATAAGACATGTTTCCATGTAACATAAATCCGGTTCCTCAGTTTAGTGCAATGACGGAGGAGCAATCTGTTCCCCAGGTCTTACGCTTTGATCTCCTCCTATTGCTTTACAAAAAGCTCTCCATGCCTCCCCCCTGCACTACACCACAATGCAGGTATTATATTTATGAATGAGAGCGCGAGGTGGAGTGTCATTTCCCTCCACCCACACAGCCCCCGAGCTCTGAGATTAGTTCATTAACGAAAAGAGCGGGCAGTGGAATCTGTGCAACATCAAAAACAGGCTGCACAATGCAGAGAGGGCCGGTGGGTGATTAGGGAGTGTAAATGAGTGAGGCAGGAAACGGCACTCTCTTCTGGATATTTACATACAGTATATAGAGATATATGGTGAGAGGGTGATCACAGGAGGGCAATTACACAAAAGGAAAACAATCACATCAGGGGCCTTTTTAAAAACAAGACACCGACATTTCATCCTCAATATTTTGAAGATATTGTTTCAAACTTTGTTTTTCCATAGAAACATCAATAAATATATAACAAGTTTAATTATTTTTGATTGCAAATTGAGGTGGAGGTCCCTGCCTCCTGGCAGTAAGAATAGCATGATGATCGATATGTTTTCAGTTCAACACATTAGTCTTTCAAACTTAATTTCTGTATCTGATAAAACCATTATTGAAATCAATAGTTAATCAGAAGACCAAACTTACTGAAACAACTGAGGAAACTTTGGGATTGTATTCTTTGCAGACCATACACATGCAATAAAACCTATAAAACAAGAAAGGGAAAACCCCAAAAAGTACATTAGGGCCCCTTTAATTAAAAACAGTGGGTGACCAAACGTGTGAGGTTTCATCCTCTGGGGAACATGAATATCTGGACAAAGTGTAACGTCCCCCTTCTATAGTTGTTGATATCAAGTATTTCACCCTGGACTTGGTGGTGGACCAACAACCTGACGCTTCCAATATGGCTAAGAAATGTACATTTGAATCTACTTGGACTCATTTGGCTGTCTAACAGGTTGAATATCTTTCCAAACATAATGTCTTTAGATGTTCTATTGTTTAGAAAGAAATCCTTTGGGATGTTCTTGTTATTGTTTCTAATATGAACACTCAGAGATATCACACAGGAGCTCTAATGTGATATGCTCAATAAATTCTCCCGCTGTAATTCAACAGGAGTCATTTCTTGTTAGCGCTGGGAATAATTAGCTTATCACTCCAGTCCAATTACAGGTTCAATTGCTGGGCATGTTCATTACCTCGGGTGTAATCTTCTATAAACACACTGGGAATTTAGTGCCGTGAGCAGCATATTATGTCACATGTCAGTAATTACATATAGCTATGGTGTCTGCGAGGAGGGCAGCACGTGCTCTGAAAACCAAAACAGAGAGGCATCTTCACCTAACTTTGTCAAACAAACAAAAGTTAAGCCGAGCTACTGGACTACATGAGGGCCTTGGATATGTTTATATAAGGCTCTAAGCTAAACCTTACCCAAGCCTACCCTACCTTCAATTTTCTTTACTCATTGCGTAAATGTGGTTACCAAGAAACGACGACGTGTTGCTATGGGTGTGTGGGTGTATAGCAGCAAAAGGGACCTAAGCTGAAAAGACATTCAGCCCTGAGAAAACATAACAGAAGTGAAGAAGTGAAAGGTATGTGAACTGCAGGAGCAGCCGCTGGAGAGGAGTTTCTGAATCACAAACACACCGATTGTGTGAACATCTTTTAGGCTGTGAGTTTGAGAGGACAAGAAGTATTCAGATCCTTTCCTTAAGTAAAAGTACCAATACAACAATGTTTTCATTATTCTATACGCTAACTTTCTTGTTGTCAACACAACCTCCTGTATCCTCTCACATAAGTCAATTCGGATGCATTTCACTACAGTTTTATCACTTTTATCAAACAATAAAAAAGAGTTTTAAAAAGGACTTTTGGCCGTTGTTTACATTC